CAAAGCTAAAAGACTTCTCTAAGTAATATATAAATATGTATTCGATAATTTTTACTTTTCCGGCTGTTATATATAACAGAGGATATATAACAAAGTGTAGCGCTCAGTCAAAAAATGACCTCTCCCAAATTTTTACATTTTTGGACTCAGAACACCTTGAAATTTTGAGTTAATTAAGCAAAAGATTCAAAGTTTTTTCTATATGTGTGGATGTTAGACTGTGTGGGGGGCATGATTTTGTTCACCCTGTTTGAAGCCTAATAATTTCTGTGGTCAAAGTGGTCAGAATCGGAGTCAGATGGTTTAACACAGGAGTTAGTTATTAAGCGTCAAAGTGGTTGAACTAAATCGTGTCCCCATACACATTCTAACATCTTAGGCGAGAACATCTTAACAGGTTTTACTGTACTATTATAAAATAGCAAAAAAGCTTTCTTTGAGGGTAGAGACGAGTTTTATTGTATTTTTTAAAATTTTGAATGCTAATAATGAGTAAAATATTCATTAAGAGATGTGACACATGACCCCTTTTATGTCTTCACCCTGTCGACCTTTAATTAAGAACCAAAAGTTAATAGTATTAATGCCCCATTATACACAAGCTAGTGTCACATTTTGTTTCTTAAACTTTACCCATTCTGAGATATTGTTTAATATCTCAGAATAGAAAATAAAGAAATTAAACAAATTAGATGCCAATACACAAACAAAATTTTTCCCCTTTTATTGACTTTTTTTGAGGGGTTTGGGAGGTCTCCAAATGTGTAGATTTGCAAAAAAAACTTGGAAGGTCAAATTTGACACAATTCCAATACTTCTCCATTTTATATACATAACAAGTTGGTAAGTAAAAAGGAGTTGGAGTCGGCGGATTTTTTGACGACTTCAGGTAAAACGCCAAAACTCCACAACTCTATTCCACAGCCCTGCTATGTACTGTAATTTCTTTCTTGAAGATTTTAAAAATACAAGTTATCTATTCATGTAATAACAAATAATACTTCATATTAAAATTTATATTATTGCAGATTATATTAAGTAATGGTACTATTTTATATACTGTATCCCAATTGTATATTATATAATTTTTTTATCTCAACAATTTTAAAATACTTTGGGGTTTGTTAATACTGTAATATCCAACTTCAAAGGTTAGGTTAGATCCAAACAAATAAAACTTGTAGATAAAACAAATAAAAATATATTTCATGGATATGAAATAAAACAAATAAAAATATATTTCATGGATATGAAATATATTTTTATTTGTTTTATCTACAATTTTAGTGTTCTGTATTATTAAACTGTTTATTTTTGCACTTTATATATTTTGTATTAATGATAATATGTATTATTTATAGGATATTTTAGATGCAGTTGTAAATCTCCAGTTTACAAGAATAGAGCACATTTGGCAGACATTTTGGCAAATGAATGATTATAAAGAAAGGTAAAAATATTGTAATTATAACAGATTCCTGATTTTTCACAATTGAAAGAATTAAAATATTGAAAAAATAATGCTATGATATTATTTTTAAATTATGAAATTTTTGCACATTGGAAAATATAATAGACTAGCAGACCCCACCACGCATTGTTGTGGCTCAAAATGTATCTAAACGTATAACACTTCCCCCGTGTGGGGGGGAATTTTTCGAAAAATTTCTTCTTAGTGTACATTCTCTTGGCATACCCTATTAAAACGCAATCAAAAACGCAAAAACCCGCATCTAAAATAGTATAATAGAAGCAGAGTTCTTTACGGTAAGCCTTAATCCTGTTCATCTCCCCCCAGTGGGGGGAATTTCGACATGTATATTATAAAAAACACGTGCGTATTCAAATCGTGTGAAAATTTCAAAGGAATTGGTAGGAACAAACGAACATTACATTTTTATTTATATAGATAGATAGATGATCATCTTTAGTTCATCCTCACAGAAAAGCAAACTTAGGGCGTCATACTTGTAGCGCCATCTGTTGGACATAAAAGCCTTAACCCTAGATGATATCTTTTAATTTATATGAATGTTTAACAAAAAATCTGCAGGTTTGATTAGTGGTAAACATTCCGGGGTCTAAAGATGCTACAGTTAAAATTTGGCAACGATTGGTTCAGTAGTTTTCATGGTTAGTGGTCATAAACAAAAAATATGTTGTCTCTTTATATAGTAGTATAGATTAAGTGGGACTTCAATCATTTAAAAGTTTTCCCTTTCTTAATAAGTAAAGGTCTATTTCACTTTTCAGCTATAATATATTTGAATCATATATACTTATCTTGCTGTGATATTTTTTGTCAATAACTTGTCCGATTACTGCAAAACCCAGCTTGTATATAAATGATTACAGTTTGGTGGCATTGTATATAAATGATTACAGTTTGGTGGCATTATCTGATATGCAATTAACCCATGAGTGCCTTAAAACTGCTACCCCAGTATACGTGTTATTTGGAGGTCTGAATGTCAGACATGCCTGTACAACATAATTAAAAACATTACACACAGCTGATGGAATTTGTGAAAGGGTGAATTATTAGGCTGAGGAAAGTAGGATGACCTGAACTGTTTACTGTCTGGGCTATTCTGAGGCTCTAGTCTGCTATGCGAGTTGTCAAACAATATTTGGTGATGTCACAGTTGACTCAACTCACTATTATATTAATAAGTTGAAGTCAAACATCAAACTAGATTGCAAATTAACTCTGTGACAGGGACAGTTACACAACTTTAACCTGGAATCAGCAACTTTATAAATAAGTTCTGCATTTATTTAGCTAACTGGAAAGCCTGATACAAACTGAAGGAGTTGCAAATTGAGTTGTTTAGTAATATGGCAGAGTAGCTAGTAATGGGGATGCAGCTCAAACTAACAATTAATTTGAGTAAAATTACTTTTCAAATAGTTTTCAAAAAAAACTTAACAATAGTTACTTATAAAAACTACATATAAAATAATAATTACAATTAGAGCAATTTATAACTAGCACATTAATCAGTTATTACCTTAGCATTTATATACAGAAATAATGGAAGCATGCATAAAAATACAGAGGGAAACATATTTTAAATTATTCTAGTTTTTATAAAATTTTTGTAATTTATAACTTTTCATATTTTCATAAAATAAAATAATCATATTTTAGATAAGAAATCTGCAACAACTGTGCCACAGCACAAGCCTCTAAGAGGAAAAGCAGTTTATGGTGGGCATTTAAATATGATAAATACAGGTTGATCCAAAAGGGACAATGATTTGCCTATTACATGTCTATTGCCACTGATGTTTGTGACAGAAGGAATTCTAACAAGCCTGAAACTTTTACACCTTTGCAATCATATTTCACAGAATTTGTGATTGAGGCCTGTCATTTTATGGATTCCTTCTCTCTCTCTCTGAAACCATTTGATCAAATAACTATTTAATTGAATAGTTTGGCTTTGAGGAAGTATTTAGTCTGAATATTGAATAAAAATGTTTAGTATTTGGTCAAATACAGTAGATTCCCAATTTTCCAAGGTAATGTGGACTGATGCTAATCTTGGACATTGTAATTTTTGATCTGAAATGGCCATGTAAAACATTTGTGGTAGCATTCTCAAGCCTCTTTTTTATACCTTAGTGAACATAATTGTATATTAGAACATGTTTTACATAGATAATATACCAGTCTACATACAANAAATGATGACAGATCTAAATAGAGTTGATTTTCATAATGTACAGGTAAAATTGTATTTGTTTTTTTAATATTAATTTTATTTTATTAACATTGTTAATAATATAAGAGAACAGTTATATTTTAATATGAATTACTTATCTCGTTGAAAGTTATTTGTAATAAATATTACCATTTTGAAATTTTTTTTATGGAATACAGTATAAGAATAAATACACTTATGGGTTTGATTTGGATAATTAGAATTCTACTGTACTTACTTTGTGGCTGAACATACCTGAATACAGAATAATGCCAAATATTTAGTCCAACAATTATGGTTGTTTTAATTATATATATTTGTGAGAAGCAGGGGGGAAGTGGATCTCTCTTCCCCTCTTTGCTTGCGTTGGGATGTTGAGGCCCTGTCACATTGTCACCGGATGGCTTTTATAATAGGGTAGTCCGATCCCCAAATAACTCTAGTCTTAGGTGATTTAACAAATAACAGTTTAATGGTTACACTAGAAATACAGCAATGGTTACACTAGAACTATAGCACTAAGTCTATATACAAACACAATTAGCATCTTGGTCAGTTAGTGTATATCAATCTATACTACCTTGTGTTGAGCAGACTGATGTCTTCTCGTCTAGTGGTATCAGCTGCAGCGTAGTAGTTGGGGAATTTCTCTGGAGATTCTTCTCAAAGGAGACTGATGAGTGGCGAGACAAGAGGGTTGACTGACAGAGCCTTGGTTGGTCTTCGGGAGGAGTGTCTACCCCAAACCTTGGATCTCCGTCTCTTTTATTTTGTAAACCCCCTCCAATTGGAGGTGTTAAACTTTCTCATGAGATGGAAAACTAATGCTGCTTCACATCTGCAGCTGTGTCTCTACGATTTCTCAACAGGAAGACAATATGTAAACAGGGGTATTCTTCCCTTTTGTCACTGACTTTCTCACAAGAATGTAAACTTGCATGTTCTATTCTTTCCCATGTATTAATTTAACTAAAATATTGTCTCATGTCCAGATTCTCACATATTATATTCAGTACATAATCATCAAGAACTTGTTTTAAATATATTGTAATTTTGTAGTATATTAAGTTGTATAATCATAATATTGAATAGTAATGATATACTTTATATTGATAATTTGAATTATCCTTGTTGATAAATCATTTAAATGGAAAAACATTTATTAAAAATTCATAACAGTAATAACTATTTTACTTATAATAAATTTTAATTGTTTATCACAGGTCCTTTGGATTAGATAAGAATAAATTATATATTCTATGTAAAGAAGAGCTCATAATATCATTTATACGTCAAACAGATTATTTATTTTATCAAAACTTAGTAGATGTATTAATTCCAAATGTATTGCGTCCAGTTCCAGGTAAAAAATTTTCTTAATATATGAAATTTGTGTAATTGTCTGTTAATATGTAAATTTTTATAGGCATTTTAACACAATCAATACGAAATTTTGCAAAAAATGTCGAAGTATGGTTAACAACTGCTCTAGCTGATTGTCCAGAAGAAATTGTAAAAATTAAGGTAAAACTCAGTTTATTACAGTTTGTAATATATTTGACATATAGCATTAGATATTTAAATGAGGGTATAAGAATAAGACAGATAATTTTATAAGTAAACTATTCATAAGATTTTCAAACTTGACACATTTATAAATGGCTACATAACTACAGGATCAAGAGTTTGGTTATTCCCAAAAATAATCATTACTTCTTTTGTTGGTAAGGTATTTGGACATGATGATAACAAATACTGTTTTGAATATAGTACTAATCAAATATCTGATATGACTGCATTAGTTATATGGTATTGTAATTTCTGTTCATTTGTATCATGCAACAACATGATCAAATATCACCATGTTTGCCTTCAAAGCATGTGAAAATTGGCTTCACTCATAACATATCAATGTTAGCATATTTTGTGTTCTCAAAACTATATCTCACAATTCCATAATATAAGCATCTAAGTAAACACTTTTTTACATATCTGACACTAATTTTTATTATTTACTAAACCAATAAAAAAAAATAATTTGTGAAATCCAAAAATTTTGAAGTTGAAAAACAAAATTATTTATGAAAACTGAATTTTTAAAACGTACAGTTAATAAAATTAAATTTGTTGTTCAAGCCTTTCTATCATTAAAATACATTATTCTGTGTATATGTATAATTTTCCATAATTAAATTTACTAGGTTGGTGCAGTATGTGCTTTTTCTCAAATTTTAAGAAGATATACTTCTTTAAACCATTTGGCTCAGGCAGCAAGAGCAGTATTACAAAATTCTTCACAGATACACCAAATGATGACAGATCTAAATAGAGTTGATTTTCATAATGTACAGGTAAAATTGTATTTGTTTTTTTAATATTAATTTTATTTTATTAACAATGTTAATAATATAAGAGAACTTAAATAACTAAAATTTATAGAGATGATTTTAATTACAAATAAATTTATAAATTGTAAACAGTTGTATACTTTAATACATTTTTCAACTAAATTTAGTATAATTAACATATTAAAATTAGAGTTTGTTTATGGAATAAATAAAATTCATGTGAATTGGTTATATATAATTTTTAAATTTAGGAGCAAGCTTCTTGGATCTGTCAGTGTAACGAAGATATAATTGAATGGATTCAACAAGACTTCAAAAATACTCTTCAACAACAAAATTCTTTAGAACAATGGGCTGGATGGCTAGAAAATGTAGTAAATGTAGTACTCCAACCATATGAAAACAAATCTGACTTTTCTAAAGCTGCACGTCAATTTCTTTTAAAGTGGTCATTTTACAGGTATGTTCAATGCATGTATATATTATACATGATGTCTGCAAAGAATGAAATTAAAGCATATTTGATGAAGATTTTTTTATTTCAACCAGAAAGTAAATTTTTAAATACTAATATAAATTTTACTAAGTGATCATCTAGATGCAGTAAGCACAAAAATTGAATTTTTTTGATAACAGATATTTTAAAGAAATGATGCCAAAAATAGTTAATATATAAATTTTTTGTCATGCTAGTGTATTTGATACATATCATTGTCTGATGAATATTAAATAAAGTGCTAACTGTTAAGATGTAATTTTTTCAATTATGTTCTTGTTGCCATGAAAAATAAAATGCCAAGTTTATTGACAAAGAACGTTATAGTGTTAGTTTAATAAACATATTCACAATTCCTATTTCTACTTTATTTCTTATAATCATAATAATAAATGATAATACATTATATACAGTATATTTCACTAAATTATAAACATTTTGTTTACTGTACAAAATATATTAGAATGTTTACTTCCACATCTCTTAGTGCATCTATCACAGTTACCCTTTAAATATCTTTTTATCTGACAATAAATTAACACTGTAAATATCAAATGTTTTGTATTATTGAAAGCAATAATTTGGCTTATATAAGTAGATTTCTTCAGTCAGATAATTTTCTGAGTCAAATTTATTTTAACCAGAAGAAAAAGTTTTATACTAATTTTGATATTCTCTATGACTTTATAACTGTGCTGCTATCTTTAATAGGAGCTGAGACAGAATTTGGCTCCAAGAGAAGGTACTGTACGTCAGGGGTGCATATTATGCAACTATACCATTATCAATTTATACATTCTCATGCACTTGGCTATATCTTTCTGTTATGTTTTTGTCTACATCCTTTACATGGATTATGTGTAAATACACTTTTGGCAAACCATCAATGAACTAATGTCTCTCTAAAGACAATATTGATAGTTAAGTCTTTTTCCTCAGTGCATATTTAGTTTTAATAGCAGGAATCAATATATTAATATATTAGAAATGTAAAAAGAAGAAAATAATTGGATCAAGAAGTGTTTTTTAATGAGTAATAAAAGAAAACAATTAAAAGGCAAATTATCTAGAAAAAGTTGGTACCAGTAAATAAATAAATGTCTGAGTAAGACAAAAGATTTCCACAATAAACCCCAAATAAAAAAAAACTAAAAACACATTTAAAATATTTACAAAGATTTTACTCATTTTAGAACACATTTGCAAAGTATATTTTTGCAATTTGTCCATTTCTCAAAGATAATTTTTTAAAATCATATTTCTGAAAATATGACAATCTTAAAAAAGGAGTAAAAATACATGAAGGGTTGTGGAGCAAATCTGACTGTATAAAACTCTAAAATAATTCATATATAAAAGCCAATCAAAATATCTTATTCATTGTATAAAAGATTGCCAGGTCCAGACTGGGGTTATGTTCAAATGATTAGTAATAGGCAGATAGCACAGTCTACTTAAAATCAAATATATTTTGTCCAGTTCATCTCAAGAAACTAACCAAAATAGGAAAGAGTGGAAGAGAATATGAAGTGTCTTGATTAACTTGTATTCTAGAAGAGAGATGAAAAATAATTGTTGTTGTTGGCACTGTAAGTCAAATATTTATGTTCACTTTGCAAAACTGTTCCTTGAAATAAAAATTTTTTTACAGCAAAATTTACTATAACAATAGATATAAATTCTATCATAACTACTAAGCTTCATTAAAGACAGCTGTGAAGTGTAATGTATATTAACAGATTTACTATAAACTGTACTATTCCTAATAAAAGCTATTTGGGAACAAAATCTGGATTAAGTTTTTCTAAAAAATTTAAATTCATCAAAAAATTATTTTAAACTATTAGTTATTTTTACCTAACTTATTTAATTTTTCAAAACTAAGAAATTACTTTAGATTAGCTACCAAAGAAGTAATATTTTATAAAAACTATAATAAACATCTAATTTCATTTATTTTACACCTGTTTATAATATATCTACATGCTTGAATTAGAAATTGGAATGACAACAACAATAAATTACATCTAAATCACAAACACAAGTGGAAATGAACATACCATTTCTCTAAAACACTCTGAAAGATGTGGGTGCTTTAGTGTAAAAGAAAGAAAACTGAAATCCTATTGTAAGTATAGTGCAACAGGGCTGAAAATATGAAATTTATTTTTAATACCTAGATAAAATCATCATTTATATAATGCAATCAGTTTTCTGATATGTTAGTATCAATGTAATTGCAAAAATCTTATATATTTTTCATCTTAGTGTTGTTGCCTTTATTACAAATATTACATAAAATAATATTGATGGTATGTTAACATTTTTGTATTTATTTAATTTAAAGTACTTGATTTTTCTGGTTCTCTATTGCTTTGCTACTGATATATCAGAATGCTATTTCACTGCACCATTCTAAAAATCATTTATTAAATATGCATTCTCTTTCTTTAGTTCAATGATCATACGAGACTTAACTTTGCGCAGTGCTGCAAGTTTTGGATCATTTCATCTAATTAGACTGCTATTTGATGAATACATGTTTTATCTAATTGAGCATAAAGTTGCAAAAATCACAGGCGAAACATCAGTTGCAGTCATGGGCGAGGTACGTATAATTGTTTAATAAGGAAACCTTCCATCAGTTTTTTCCTATAAATATATTCATGTAAATATTTCAGTTAATAGGATTGACTTTAGCACCATTTAACAATTTTCAAAAAAATGCTAATTTAATAGAAAAAAGTAAATATCCTAATGGTGTGGACGAACTGGAAATGACAAAACTATGTAAAGAAAAGTCTCCAGCTTCTACATGTGATTCCAGTGGAATGAAAGAAGTGTTGAACCAGTCCATATTGGCACATCTTTTAAATCATTCACAAGAAATTTCAAGTAAAAAAGTAAAAATAGAATAATATATTTTTCACAAACAAATTTAAAGAGAAAATAGAATCATTAAATCAAATATCTTTGTAATAAAATTATTATAGTGTTTTTACACAATTTCATTAATAACTTTGTTTTAAATTTAATACAAAATCAGTTTTAAAAACACTTTAAAACCCATGGGCATCTGTTTAAATAATTTTAATATACATCTTATGCTCAGGGACAGCTATTTCTAAAATAAGCATGGGAAAAAGCATCTTATATCAAATTTAATTTGGTTTTTGTATATAATCAAAAAATCAATGTAATTCTATTATCTTAAGATATGACATGTATTTTTAATTAAGAATTTATGTATATGGTTTTTCTGTATACAAAATAATATATATTTTAAAAAACAGTATATTGTGAAATTTATAAACCAATCTTTGCATTTCTTGCATCAAATCTTGTTTAAATTTTTACATTAATTTTTATTCAAATCCTATTTAATTCAGAATCTTTTAAGGGTGTGTTTGCACAATAACCTAATGTAAACTTGTCAAGAAATGTTACTTGTTGCTGTAACAGTTATAGTACCAAATAAGGTGAAATTTCAAGAAAATAACAAAGAATATATATATATATACGTTGAACCGTTCGTAACATACAGCGCACACAAACTGCATTTAAGCTTCAGTTAAATTATACAGATTTTAAGTAATGAATTATAATATCTTTCATATTTAAAAATTTATAAAATATTATATACTCTTTATATTAATAATATTGAATACAACACAGAATATTTTTTAATGTCAGTATGTTTTTAAAGAAATGATGCCAAAAATAGTTAATATATAAATTTTTTGTCATGCTAGTGTATTTGATACATATCATTGTCTGATGAATATTAAATAAAGTGCTAACTGTTAAGATGTAATTTTTTCAATTATGTTCTTGTTGCCATGAAAAATAAAATGCCAAGTTTATTGACAAAGAACGTTATAGTGTTAGTTTAATAAACATATTCACAATTCCTATTTCTACTTTATTTCTTATAATCATAATAATAAATGATAATACATTATATACAGTATATTTCACTAAATTATAAACATTTTGTTTACTGTACAAAATATATTAGAATGTTTACTTCCACATCTCTTAGTGCATCTATCACAGTTACCCTTTAAATATCTTTTTATCTGACAATAAATTAACACTGTAAATATCAAATGTTTTGTATTATTGAAAGCAATAATTATATATATATATATGTATATAAAACAATGTAATAAGGACAATATATGTATTTCTGTATTAAACAACAAACATGTATATAATTTTTAGTATGAGACTATAATTAACAAAGCATTTTTCTCATTTATTATTATACTATATGTATATAGTTATATAAAACTGTGGTACTCAATTTGACAGAAGTGTATTTTAGAAATGTGCCACTTAAAATCGTCAACAGAAATAATTTTGTGCCCTGCTGCAAGTTTTAGTTTTAGCCTTGAATACTTCAAAAGTTTAGTCAAGTAAAATACTCTAACAAAAGCTAAAAAATAACTAACAATTGTAAATTCTCTAAATATGGCAGTGATTTACTTACTAGGGCAGTGATGCTATTTTTTAAAATCCTTTTGCTTTGTCATAAATATAAGATAAATGGTAATCAACAAAGGGTAATGGTAACATTTATGCCCAAATTTCCATTGTCAGCAAATAACTGAGCAATACCTGTATCAAAAATTAGACAGTCACTATTTATAATGGCAGATTGAACGCCCTCGTGAATACTTCGTGGTGTTGCTTCCCAGGTCAATCTTCTATGATGACCATTAAGCTCTAACCTAAAATCAAAAAAGAACCACTTGACAAAATTATTGCAACTTGTTATATAAAAGTTATGGGATTATTTCTTACCGATACATAAAATTTTCAGCCTGTTTTCGAGATCCAATAAGTTGTACAATAGCAAAAAACTGTTGATGTCCATCATACTTTTCTTGTTTCTCAAGAACTAACATAAAATGGTGACCAAAACATGACTGCATCATAACCCAGTCAACTGCACCTGGTAAATTGATATCTGTTGCCAAGAATACAATATCTTCACCTAAAACATAATTTTTAAATTATTTTTTTTTACTTTACACAATATACAAAATCAATTTCAATATTAAATGTATATATAATCAATATCCTACTGTATATATAGATATCATAAAATCAATTAACCAAAATTGACTTCATAATTTCTAGAATTAGTACTCTTTGTAGTTTTTATATAATAATGATTGTCACCAATCTTCTGTAATCCTGCTACTGAACTATATCTATAATTTCTATTTGTACTGTATAAATAAAACAAAGCATGATTAATGAATCACAAGCTTCCAATGCATCAAATGCCTATGCACAGTGAAGTATTATATTTCATGCATTAGAAACAGCATTGACATGGTTAAAACTCCAATCTGAAACCAATTTTTCAATTCACATGAAAATAAAGCAAACAAGGAATTTAATAAGTAATTTTTATATTTCTGCTACAGTTTTTTTTAATGAATACTGTATATGAAACTGAATTCAAAGTAAAATTAATATTAATCAGTACATTCTTGTTCTTATTTAATTTATTCTTATTAACTATTTAAGAAATAATAAATTTAAAAAATTTTTTTGTTATCATTCATATGTTTTAAATTTCCATACCTTAATCTTCATTTACTATTGTACTAGAAATACCTAAAATATTTTTACTCTATTTAATCTTTTATTCTTTCACTACCGAGTGTAATTGGTTATCCAAAATTGTTCCATTCCAATTATTTCAGATGATCAGTACTGCACTGTATAAAATCTACTGTAACATTGGTTTAAAATATGACTAGTATAACAGGTAATCTTCATAAGTGGTCATGATTTTCAATCCCGTTGAGTTGATCTGTTACCTACATATGAATTTTAATAATTAACATGTGATTTAGTATCATCTTTTTCAAACTTCTAGCGTAAAAGCATAGAAAATAGTCCAAAAAGTCTGATGCATAAATATATTCTACATTTTTAATTATTGATATATTTGCTTTAAATATATACACAGTGTTTTATTGGTGGAGTTTTTTGATTAAATTGATTTTATCGAAAAACAATTTTAACAAATAGATAATTCTTTATGAATTAAATTTAAATCCATTAAATCATTACATTCAAAACTATCATTAAATTGTTAGAAACATACCTTGTAGTGTAGTGATTGATTTATGAGATTGCATTAGATGAGGCATAACCTGTTCCAAATTCCCTTGCCATTTACAAGACGCCCCAGGACAAGGGCAGTTATAAGGCCTTAAAATATTTAATAAATAGTTTTAAAATACAAACAAAAACTAATGATTAATCTAAAAATTATCTCAACTTGACAAGTAAAATTTCATATTTAAAAAAATAATTATTGTGAGATGAATACAGACCATCTCCAATACATTGGACCAGAGGAAAATAAATAATATACTCATCACTATACAACATGGCATATTTTAAGAACTGAAGCAACTCTACAGTATTTTATGGTAATAAACAAAATGACAATAAATTTACTGTTTTAATTCAGCCACTTACCTGCATTTTTCTGCTATATTAGGACAGTGTTCATGAGTAAACATCTCAATTCATTCATTATATATTACTTTTCAGGTTTATACTAAATACTAATATAATTAAGATTGTTTTAATTTAGATATTTGTTATTATTTTGCTAATACACTTGAGCCATATATATCAAGTCCCTTCAAAATAATGGACATCTCTCCAAATGGACTGTAATTTTACAATGTATTTAATTTATTTGTAAGATTATGAAAAACTTTCATAAAAAACAGACAATAATTATTAGATTATTTAAATAATGAAATATACTTTATGACTTTATGTAAAATTGCAATATAATTTTATTGAATTAATTATAATTTGCAATCAAAATTTTTGTTCTTTAAATTTCTGTACATTTTGAAATATAATTTGCATTAGCAAAAATGTGCACTATTTTTCAAAAGATGAAATATATTTGAGGTACCCTGATTTTCAGAAGTATAATAATAATAATTCTGATCAGAAATATTATTACTATTAAATCTGATTTATTGAAAATTGTTTTCTATAAAATTAAAGATATTTTAACAAAATCCTTATAAAAATTTTTATTTGACAACGTTTAATGAAAATCATTATAATAGGGCACTTTTGTTTTAAGCATAAATTATTAATTCTTATTACATAAACAAATTATGGCAATAATATATGATTAATTCTAGTTTACTAAAAAATTTTAGAATTCTCAAGAAATTTATAGTGTTTAAAACATATCAAATATACAGTTTGAAACAAGATATCAAATTTTTATGAAAATGAACAACTAGGAAAAATATTCCTAGTTTTGACTTTTATGATTTAAAGTTGTTCACCATGCTTGTTGGAAAATTATAATGGTTAATTATCTAAAATATTAAAAATAGTCTTTTTTATGAATTTGACAATTATATTTGAATTTCAATTCAGTTGTAATAAATTCAATAATAATAAATTGTTATTTAATCATTTGTGATGATAAAGTTTTCCCTTTTTTGCTATATTTTCTGCTGAAAAAATTCAGCTAATATAGTTAGTGCAGATGTACTCTATTAGGGTCGAGTTATAAACTCCATAATGTTACCACATCCGTAAAGCATGGTTATAAAGTCTGCATCGTATCCATATGGCTGTACTGTATTCCGTAAGAAAAATTTGGATCAATCAAATGTTTACAGTAGGGATACAGAGACTTGACAAACTGTGCACGCACTAAGTTGTCATCAATCGATATACAATTGGAAGTTGTGCCGGAAGCAACTGACGAAACTTTGACAAATTGGTTGAAATGTAACTTTTGACCAACAATGCTACTTCTAAACAATATAAAATTTTAAGATAAGAGTTATTTTGGTCATAAAAAAAATAGAAAAATAATAAAATGAATAATTATGGTTTGTTTTATAAGTGCAATGTAGCGTAATAATGATCACTTGGCATGATTCATTTCTTTATTTCAATTTTCGTTCAATTTTTCGTCTCAATGAAAATTGAAATAAAGAAATGAATCATGCCAAGTGATCGTTCTTACGCTACATTGCGCTTATAAAACAAATAAAAAATACGACATGGTTTCAAAATATGGAAGAAATAATTATAGTGTTAGATCTGGCAACAACTATCGATGATTTTGTGCATGCTCACGATGGACTGCTTCATAAGCCATAAAATGAGTTTGTTCCTTAACGGATACAGAAATGGTCTTATGGTAGTTTAAAACTATTGCTATAGCTATCCAGTATAGCAAACATTTACAGATATGGTTACATTACAGAGTTTATAACTCAACTCTTAATTCCATAGTAGTAATTGAACTTGGTAAGATGTAACTAAAAATTAATCAATAATAATACAGGTGTACCCGAGGTTACAACCATCTCACAATAAAACAAACTGCAGATACAACCATCCTATATTTCTTCTACTACCATGATCTGACTTAACAATCCCCATCAATACAACACTTCATCCATTCCAAGTGTTGTTACCTTTAGGTTTTTGTGTTATGTGTCTAGGTGAAAACCAAAAATGTCTGAATTTTAAGAAAATTTGGCAAATTGCCAATAATTAATTATTTTTAATGTTATAGCTGATTTGATAACCAATGAACAGAAATAGTCTGATAATTTAATTAGCAAGCCATTTGCAACTTGCAAGATCTGTGATAGTACAGTACATGGTAATTTATAACAACATTCCAGAGTAGGAGTTCAGATATGGAGCCTTGAGGACAGATTTTTTTTTAAACAAAGCCCAATTTAAGTTCAGCTGTTCTGTCTTTTAAGAAATCCTTGAGCAAGTAGAAAATATTTTGTGGTACTTTGGTATATCTGATAAGTTTTAAAATTTGAGAGCCACCACACATTGTCAAATGCACTTCTGACGTCTCTCATAATATTTCTAGTTATCAATCTTGTCTTTTTTTCCTTGCTGTAGAGTTTAACTAGGGCATCCTCTGTAAACACTGAGGTGGTGAAGCCATATTGGTCATTGCTCAAAACCTTTCCATGAGATGAAAATTTCTTTAAATAAAAATAAAAGTATGGAAATGGCAATTTATGATAGAACTACTGTTTGATGGAATGCATTTTGTACATAACCTGAGGTACACTTATAACTTCTTTTACAAAATTATGTTATTTTTAATTATTATTATAAATGCGATTAATGCTAAATTTGAGAAATTGTTCTAGAACACGTGCTTGAAAAAGCACAAAGCAAACAATTTCTCAAATAACATTTTGTTTTATGATTTAACTCGTCTATAGTTACTTGGAATAATTTTTTATACAAGTATTAATCCTAATTCTTTCTGAACTGTCTAAATACTTTTTTTTTTTAACAATGTAACAAGTTTTTCAAAATTATCCTTTCCAACTAAAATATTACTGAATATTTGAGTTAAAAATATATCTTTTAAACAAATTATGTCTTTCTTGATGTACAGAGATATTATTTTATCACAAGTGTAAAGCAATGATTTAAACACACAAAAATTTATTGCTTTAATTTGAAAATAAATAATTATCAAAATTAAATTCTTATTACCTAAATTCACAAGCTTCCTCGTGTTCTGGTTTTTCAGTATGTACTAATTGAGCTCTACATCCAGAACCAGAATATTTACATGGGAACATGACCGTACTTGCTACTTTCTCCATTGCCAAATTTCTTATATTTCCTATAGATAAATAAAACATAAAACAGAATAAAATAAAAATATAAAAAAATAAAAATTTTTGTATTATTCTGTTGTAAAATTGAGGGAAAAAAAGCACATAATACTAACCAATTGATCCTCTACATGTTGGACAACAAGTCAATTTTTGACGACAAACAGAACAAACTAAATGTCCATTTTGACACTGAAGAATTGGAGGGAGGACATAATCGAAACACACTGGACATTCAAATAAACTTGCAAGATCTGTGATAGTACTTGGTAATGCTGCTGTGGCAGTCACTCCTAGACAAATTTACATATAACTTATCATCATCTTAATTGAAGTACACAACCATTTAAATAAAAATATAAATCTTACCTTTTGTTAAGCCTTCAATAGCTTCTTCCACAAGAGTTGCTGGAACTAAAAAAAATAAAGAATGTTTAGCTATTAATACTGTAAATTAAACATAAAAGTATTTAAAATGACAAAAAATGTATGATTATTATTCTACTTACATAGTTAATTTCATTCTGAATAATAATAACTTTTAATATTTGTTAATAATTTTACAAGAACTAGAAATTTATATTGTTTTTGAAAACTAATCTTCCCTGAAACCTACATAAATACAAGTTTAAGAAATAATTACAGGCTTAAGATGCTATTCTTGGGTTTTTAAAGCTATTTTCTGGACACCCCTTGTATAATAAACATTTGCACATGGCACTCTGCACAGGTAAATTACAGCTTTTGATTCAAGGTCAATTTGTTCTCTGATACGTTAGCTTATCATGTGTAGAGTTTTGATAACGATGGGCTTATTGTTACTGTTTTGTCAAGGGTTAAAATGTGTACAAAAATCTAAAATCCCTCCAAATGCAAAATGTTATTAGTTTTCTAAATGCAAAGAAAGTTTGTTCAATAGAAATTCATAAAGAAATCACAGAAGTGTATGGTGATCATTATATGAATGAATCAAGAGTGGGAAAATGGTGTTTAATGTTTAATCAAGGAAGATAACATGCAACCACTCAAGCTGTGCTTCAGAAATTCAGCTTGGACATTTTCAATCACCCACCTGGCCCTGAGTGACTTTCACTTTTTTCCCAAGCCAAAAGAGCTTTCAGGTGTCATTTTGGGATAGATGAGAAGTGAAAGAAGCTGTCACTAACTGGCAGTGGAAATCTATAACAAAGGAATCCAAAAACTAGTGTCACACTATGAGAAGTGCTTTAATTGTAATGATGACTACATAGAAAAGTAACTGGTCTTGTATTAATTACTTAGTAAAACTTTTTCCTATCATTGCTATTTTTTCATTTTTTACAGCCAAATGTTCTTTATTTTCTGGACATCTCTCATATTTTTGAGAATTTGTGATAAGAGTAAACAACATTGCTTAATTAAGGGAACTAGAAAGGATGTCTAATAATTTTCAATTACAATGTAAGATTTTAAATATTGATGACAACAACAATTTAAATTAAAGAATAATTGTGATGAGTTATGAGAAATTTCTCTATTTTTCAAAAAAGAAAATTTAAGTATAAAAATGAATTATTAAAGGGAGGAAAAACAGTCTGGCTCTAAGTTAAAATTATGTGTGACACCATCTGTTATGAGATTTCATTAAAAATATTGTTTTTTATAATACTAATTATTATAAAAGGCAAAAGCCTTATTGGGAGTAAGGGTTATCTTTAAAAAATTTCAAGTTAAATGCCATTAATAAGTAAAATTTTCAAGTCTGACCTCACTCAAGATACAACACAACTCCATCTATTTTCCCCTTGACTTATACTCTAAAATGTAGCAGCATTGGTGTTCCATATATAGAAGTATTCTTGCTAAATTTCAAAATTTTTTGATCCATAAGGTCCTGAGGTATAAAGCAAAATACATGACAATACGTACACAATTTTGTTCCTTTTTTTGTTTTTTTAATCAAGGGACTTTAAATACAAAAACCCAGAGGCTCAAAATTTGACCAGTAATAATAATTTCTCTCTGTTAGAATTAATAATACTAAAACCTACAATCCAGCTGGTTTTTTAAAAAGTGCAAATGCTTTTTCCTGTGTTGAATGGGCATCAGGCAAACTAATCCCCAACTGCTGAAACATCAGGGGATTGCCAAACACATGCACAGAGGGGAGGTGATGTAAGACAAGAGAAAGAGGGGAGGATAGTAAGATTTATAGTTCAAAGAAAAACTTCCAGGCTGTGGGAAAGGAGTCAACATTGCAAAAACTGATAGTGGTGTTCATTCATTCATTCATTCAATTTTATTAAAATAACATAAGTTGCATTTCCTGATTTCGCTGAGCATTATCAGGATTTAAAAACACTAAGTAATTATGACAATGAATACAGCATATTAATAAACATTAAGAGTAAAATTGTACAATGATGGGAGGGCAATAGTGGTGTTATTGCAGGTGGGCTTATATATTTCCACCCGTTCAAGATGTTTGAGAAAGGGTTCTGGAAGAGCTATGTAAGAGGTGTGCCTTGCCGAATTCCACATTGATGTCAGAGTCGGAGGTTTAGATAGCCAATGCAATGTTGGCCAATCCTTTCATGATGGACATCTGATGTTCCTTGAGGCTGTTACTTTAACAGTCAGAAAAGTGATACTGCTATTTGATTACAAAAAATAGCACTATAATATAGTTGTGTTTTTTAGCTTTAATAAGTTTAATTACTTTTCTGGGTATGGAATAATAGTTTATAGGAAAGATCCTATACATATAGACTCATTTACATAACAATTGAATCCAAAGTTCAGGTTTCTATAAATATGAAACTTTTTGATTTGTTAATAAATAGAATATCTGTTCTTTGTTCAGGTTGGAAAAATTTAATATCAATTAGCAAATTTTTGAGAACATAGTTACAAAAAACACCTGAAGAGAAAGGATAGGAAATTGCAGACATAAAGGAGATAAAGTCACTTTAAATTTTTATGTCATTGCACAAAAAATTTTTGCAAAATGTATCATTTCTTTCAGATAATTGTTGCAAAACTACATTCTATATTTATTATACTATTTTCCTATGAACAAAACAAAACAGAAAAGTGCTTTGTTTCTTGACAATGCTATATCACATCTAGACATCAGCTCAAAAACGTCAAGATTATTTCTACTGACAAATATCACTTCACTATCAACCTTTAGACAAAGGTGTAATTCAAAATTTCAAAGTCAAATACAGATAGATGGTTTTGAAGACCATAATTGCAAATCTAAATTGTGGAGTATCATTCAAAATACTGACAAAGCAATCCGTGGATTTCAAGTGCTTTGAGAGAAGTTCTGACATCAACAATTCAGAATTTTTTCTTCAAAGTCAAATTTTTTTCCAGCAATGAGAATGCTTACAGTTTTGCAGTGATTGTGAATAATATGGAGACAACAGTGTCCCATGAATGCAACACAATTAGCTTCACTACAAACAATTACAGCAACAAACAATCTCAATTGAGTGCACAAGTCAGGATCCTTCAGTCACTTTTAGGAGAGAAGTATAATGATGGTGATGACAATGGCTAAGACTTCACAGAAAAATGACACCTGCTCCATAATCAACATTAGTCATACAGACAGGTCCTGGACTATGTACACAGTTTTATATCAATAGAAAAGATGCAGATGGTACAAAGCTAGCACAAGATTATATACAGTGAAAAGTAGATTGCTACAATTAATTGTAAAAAACAAAGCAAATATTATTGAATTTTATTAAAAAATATAATACTGGCCCTCTTATGATAATTATCATTTACAGTACTATAATGTATAGTATTACATTATCAAGATATGTATATTGTATGTTCATAAATAAAAATGATTCAGGTTAATCTAAAGCAGGGATAGGCAACCTGTGGCCTGCATTAATATTTTTTGTGGCTCTTGTCGCATAAAATATGAATAAATATACTGCTGGCCAAGTAAAATGCAACACCATGTAGGACTCTAGATATTGCAGGTGTTGCATTTTACTTGGCCAGCAGTGTATATCAATTTCCCAGCTTAAAGAAGTATGCAACAAAAATTCAAACATTATTTTCTACAACTTATGTATGTGAATAGTTTTTCCTGCAATGAATTTAGTAAAAATAAAAACAAGAAATTGGCTAACAGACACATCGAAACTAATTTAAAGCTAGCGGTGACTAATATTTAATCAAATAATTTCCGATATATTACATTTACATCAGTTCCAGAAGCTAAATTAAGTATACCTATGCTAATTTATAATTATATATAAATAAATAATTATGATTTACTGGCATTTTTCTTCTCTCTTTGCTGTTATGTGTCATGTGTCTGCCTGCGCCATTTCAAAAGTTTCAAAATGCAACCCTTACATAGAAAAAGGTTGCCCATCCCTGATCTAAAGGATGTTTCATTTAAAGGTAATTTTCACAAAACCTCTCCTGGACAAACATTTCTCTACAATGGACAGTTTTTTGTCATAAAAGTGTTTGTTAGAGGAAGTTTACTGTAATCTGATTTATACTGAAATAATGTTTACATGATTACAATACTACTAAAACAAAAAATTCAGAAAAGAATATGAATATACACATGAAAAAGTATTAGAAATGCAGTATTTATATTTAAATTAACAAACTTAAAATAATAATAAAACCTTTAAAGTTAAATGGCACCATAAATATTTTTATTAGGTTCGTTTTACATTCAGATTATTAAACAAGAGAATGAAGAAACATTTAAGATGATAATGTAAAAAATACTGTTTCAGCCCAATGGACTTGTTATATTTTATTTTATATTTTATATTTTATATGTTATATTTTGTTTCATTGGTTATATTTAAAACTTGTTATCTTTATTTTAACTGTCTGATATAACATACATTGACACCCTCTCATCTAAAATAATTGAAAATGCTCAAGATACATAAAGCACTCAATAAAAGAACTGTGATTAACTGTAAAGATGTAGACTCTTGTCACAGGCCTGAAGGATATTTTTTGGAACTGATTAATTTTATCATCTTGTTTGTTTTTTACCTTTTTGTCTTATGTACCATAATTTTTATTTTATTTTATTTATATTTATTTTGTGTATTATATTTTATTTATTTTAATTCCATTTTGTTATTTTTATTATTATAAATTGTTAACTTAGTTTATGTTTTAAGTTTGCATATGCAATATTTAATATGTTTTAAATTGCTCAATAGTTTTTGTATTTTAAAATTGTTTTCTGTTCTATCATCAGAACTTGAGGATGACTTTTAAACAGGGTCAAAAACATCAGTTTGTTTAAATTTCACATCTGTTATAAGGACATGTGTTAAAAATATGAAAAATTTTCCTTCAATGCAATGTTTCTAAAATTTAAGTAATAGATCACTTTCATTTAACTAATGAAAAAACTATTTTAAAAA